GTTCTTCATCAAAGGACTAAAAATCGAAGCTTTTTTTTGTTCTTGTTCTGCTTGGCTTTTGACGACGAATGAAAAGCAAAATCCACCACCAGCCAAATGGCAGTAATGGTGTTGGAGGTAGCGATAATGGCTGCCGAAGTGAGTCTCCAAGCCCACCTCTGTCACCGAGCCGCCGTGTCCCCCGTCGTCAACGGCGGCAGACTCTGTTCAGAGCTTCCTCTTTCTCTCTCCGAAGAAATCTCCGTTACTTACTTCTCCTTCCTATGATTTACGCTTCTGGGCTTCTCATGTGTGTCGGTCCTTTCTCGGGTCTCGTCGGTTGGGTCTATGTTCCCGGGTCTGTCTATCGGAGCCCCGAGTTGTACCGGAAACTCCGAGATGACATTCTCTCCGACAATTTTACCGCCGTTGAGGTGTATCTTCTTCTCTACTTCCTAAAAATCACATTTTTATAGTCAAGTTCCGAGTTTTATATCAGTTTCTTTCTTTGGGGTTGCAGTTGTCTTCTGTGTGGAAATACAAAAGGAGACCAAAAATGCCAAAGCCTTGTCCAAATTCAACAGCTTTATCACATCTTGGTCCTAACAGAGGTAGGAGCCAACGAATTTCGTCCTTAGGTATCACCAGAATCTGTTTTTGTACTGACCTATTGAGTTGTGTGGCTTCCTGATTTCTGGGATTGCTTAAGGAGTAGATACAATAAGATGGTTTTAAGAGATTTGTTGTTTTACTAAACATATTTGATTCATAAGAACTAGTGTTCATAAGTATTGAGCGCAATGTGTTTTGATGAAATTTTCAGAATCATCTGCTCTTACTCCTAGTGGCTACTTGATCGTGGAGGCGAATGGCGGTCTTAATCAGCAGCGTTCTGCGGTATTGCTTTCTTCTTCTCATATTGATTTCCTTGTTAGAACCATTGATCATATAAGTCCAACATGTCTTAAGTTTGTTGTCTTGTTTAAAATTTTCTGAATTGCTTTAGATTTGCAATGCTGTGGCTGTTGCCGGACTCTTAAACGCAGTCTTAGTCATACCCCGGTTTGAATTTCATGCCATTTGGAAGGATTCAAGGTAAGAAACCCAGAGAAATTTCATTACTTTCTAAGAAATAAATGTTGAAATCATTGGACTACGAAATGCATATTTGTGGCAGCAACTTTGGGGATATCTATGACGAAGATCATTTCATATCGACCCTTGAAGGTTATGTGAAAGTTGTGAGAGATGTTCCGGATGAGATAATGACTCGTTTTAATTACAACCTTACAAGTATCCCTACTATTCATGTTCAAGCTTGGGCCACTGTGAACTACTATATTGGGGAAGTGAATCCGGTCTTAAAGGAACACGGGTAGGTATTCATTACTTTTGAAACTGTTACATGACTTAACTCTTTTGTCACCTAAGGGGTTGTCATTATTTTTTCTTTCAGGGTTATACGGATTTCCCCTTTTGCAAATAGATTGGCTATGAGTGTTCCACCATATATCCAACTTTTGAGGTGCATAGCTAATTACAAAGCATTGAAGTTTTCTTCGTCTATATCAACACTTGCTGAAAAGCTAGTTGATCAGATGATTGAGAAAAGCTCACAGAACGGTGGAAAGTATGTCTCAGTCCACCTTCGATTTGAGGAGGTAATTTTGTCTTTTGATTCAGAAGCACTTAGCTCAATAGTTTAGCACTAGCTCTTGAATTGCTATAATAAGGGTAACTGTGGTATTTGCGATGTTCTAAAAATAGCTGCAAATTTCCACATAAACCATCTGCTTCTAGCTCTTGTCTTGTTGTGAAAGATATCCAATTACGTCCATAAAATCTCCTAAACCCTTGGTTTTTAGGACATGGTGGCCTTCTCTTGTTGTCTCTACGAAGGAAGAGCTGAGAAATCTGAAATGGATGCGATTAGACAGAAAATTTGGAAAGGAAAGTTTAAACGAAGAGATCGTGTCATCAGGCCTGACCTTAACCGGGTGAATGGGAAATGTCCCCTTACCCCGTTAGAGGTAAATTCATAGACCTATTTTCACATTTCACATTTCAGTTTCAAAGTTAGTGGCGTTTAAGGTATTGTATTTTATTGAGCTTTATTTTCAATTGTTGCTTTCATGTCAGTATAGGTCGGTATGATGCTCCGTGGTATGGGATTTGATAACAACACTTCGATATATTTGGCATCGGGAAGAATCTACCATCCTGAGAAACATTTGGCTCCTCTCCGGGAAATGTTTCCCCATCTCTACACAAAAGAGTCTCTTGCAACTCCAGAGGAGCTTGCCCCATTTGAGGTTTTATTTTGAATTCATTATTCTAAGCAAAACCTGTTGGGAAGATTCAAAGGTCTAATCTTTTTGTTGTTACTTTGATTATTTAGGGATATTCCTCCAGAATGGCTGCTTTGGACTACACGGTGAGCTTGTTAAGTGAAGTGTTTGTGACAACTCAAGGTGGAAACTTTCCTCATTTTTTGATGGGCCATCGAAGATTCCTCTTCGGTGGACATGCAAAAACAGTCATACCCGACAAACCCAAACTCGTTCTCCTTCTTCAGGACATGGACATGAGGTACTAAATCTTTCTTTGTTATTTGGCTTTTGATAAAGTTGGCAATAAAAGAATCAAGAAACAGAGTTTGGCATCTTTCAAAGCTCCCAGACACACAAGAGAGTCTTACTAGTGAGCTGTTTCATACTTCCGAATAATAGTTTCCTCTGAATCTTTTAACAGGTGGGAAGTATTCAAGAAGGAGATGAAGCTGATGCTAGGGGAAAGCGATAGAAAGGGAGTGATGGTACCTAGAGTGAGGAAGATCAACCGAAAAACTTCCATTTACACATACCCATTACCCGAATGCGAATGCATCTTTCAGTTGTCTTCCAATTTTTCAAATACCGGAAACATCCAGAATCTTGGAGCTCTTCATCCAACTTCCAACCTCATGAATTCTGCAAGACTATAGTAGTCTCTTGATGAAATTATCTTTTTGACCCTCACACTGAAGCTTTTACCCAAGTCTTGAACGTTATTTTTGCGCTCGACGGAAGGGAGAAATCAGATATGAGGAGAGATTTTTATCAGGAAATTGAGTGCACGATTTTTATGAGGAAATTGAGTGCACATGTAAACACACAAAGTGTAAGAAACTCGTTAGGATTGAATCTGTGTTCTGGTCATGTAGGGGTTTTAGGACAATCACAAAAACAGGGGTGTGATTTTCTGTATTTATGTTTGTATCTTCCTCCAATTGTTCTCAAGTGTATAGAAAATTTTACATTTTACCTGTCATATGACCTTACTAGTTCTATATCATGGATCAAACACCTTGCCGTTTTAATATTTTTGTTTTAGAGCTCAATTTCTACAGTATTTTGTTTTTTTTTGTTATTGTAATGCCATTTTTGTATTACGAAACAAAAAACAAGAAGAGGATTGTCCAAGATCACTCACTCTTCAGGTCAAATTGGTTTTCGGTTTGTAATTTTGTTAGCCGATTTCAATCGAACAAAATTCGGCCCATAAGACTTAACTCGAAACGATACTCAGATAGAAAGAATAAGATGTCGAAAATAGAAATACCCAGGCGAACACAATTATAATGTGATCAGCCTCATCATTCATAATGTGGTCAATTTCCGAA